GTAAAGTATTCAACCCAAATTTATTGATTCGACACAAGGGGAGTCAAAGAATAGTCTCGAGTATTAGCAGCTGAGTTGTCAATTCAACCACACCTGGAAACTTAATATCTGCAGCAAAGTATTTAGTAGCAAAGTAATATGATAGTAGTGGTAACGGTAGCAAAAGGTAACAATAGTAAAAGTAGTGTTTTTGGTATTTTGTAGTGATGATAGCAATAGCAACGGGAAAGTAAGTAAGCGAAGAACAATATATGGAAAGCTCATAGGCAATCGATTGGTGATAGAGAATTATGTCGGATGCGATTCATCATGTAACAGTCATAACCTAGGGTGACACAGAACTAGCTCCAGTTCATTGATGTAATGTAGGCATGTATACATGCTTATGGAAAAGAACTTGCATGACATCTTTTGTCCTACCCTCCCCGGCAGCGACGCCAGAAAATAGTCTTGATAACCCACAAGTATAGGGGATCGCAACAGTTTTCGAGGGTAAATTATTCAACCCAAATTTATTGATTCGACATAAGGGGAGCCAAAGAATACTCTCAAGTATTAGCAGCTAAGTTGTCAATTCAACCACACCTGGAAACTTAATATCTGCAGGAAAGTATTTAGTAGCAAAGTAATATGATAGTAGTGGTAACGGTAGCAAAAGGTAACTGTAGTAAAAGTAGTGTTTTTGGCATTTTGTAGTGATGATAGCAATAGCAACGACAAAGTAAATAAGCGAAGAACAATATATGGAAAGCTTTTAGGCAATGGATCGGTGATGGAGAATTATGCCGGATGCGGTTCATTATGTACCAGTCATAACCTAGGGTGACACAGAACTAGCTCTAGTTCATTGATATAATATAGGCATGTATTCCGGATATAGTCATACGTGCTTATGGAAAAGAACATGCATGACATCTTTTGTCCTACCCTCCCGTGGCAGCGGGGTCCTTACGGAAACTAAGGGATATTAAGGCCTCCTTTTAATAGAGTACTAGAACAAAGCATTAACACATAGTGAGTACATGAACTCCTCAAACTACGGTCATCACCGGTAAGTATCCCGATTATTGTCACTTCGGGGTTAACGGATCATAACACATAATAGGTAACTATAGACTTGCAAGATAGGATCAAGAACACTCATATATTGATGAAAACATAATAGGTTCAGATCTGAAATCATGGCACTCGGGCCCTAGTGACAAGCATTAAGCATAGCAAAGTCATAGCAACATCAATCTCAGAACATAGTGGATACTAGGGATCAAACCCTAACAAAACTAACTCGATTACATGAAAGATCCCATCCAACCCATCACCGTCCAGCAAGCCTACGATGGAATTACTCACGCACGGCGGCGAGCATCATGAAATTGGTGATGGAGGATGGTTGATGATGACGATGGCGACGGATTCCCCTCTCCGGAGCCTCGAACGGAATCCAGATCAGCCCACCCGAGAGGTTTTAGGGCTTGGCGGCGGCTCCGTATCGTAAAACGCGATGAATTCTTCTCTCTGATTTTTTTCTCCCCGAAACACAATATATAGAGTTGGAGTTGGAGTTGGAGAGGCGACAGGGGCCCACGAGGTAGGGGTCGCGCCCTAGGGGGCAGGCGCACCCCCCACCCTCGTGGACAGGTGGTGGGCCCCCTGGCCTTCATCTTTTGCATGTATTTTTCATATTTTCTGAAAAGTTGCTCCGTGAAGTTTCAGGGCATTCCGAGAACGTTTGTTTCTTCACATAAATAACACCATGGTAATTCTGCTGAAAACAGCGTCAGTCCGGGTTAGTTCCATTCAAATCATGCAAGTTAGAGTCCATAACAAGGGCAAAAGTGTTTGGAAAAGTAGATACGATGGAGACGTATCAACTCCCCCAAGCTTAAACCTTTGCTTGTCCTCAAGCAATTCAGTTGACAAACTGAAAGTGATAAAGAGAAACTTCTACAAACTCTGTTTGCTCTTATTGTTGTAAATATGTAAAGCCAACATTCAAGTTTTCAGCAAAGATTATAACTAACCACGTTCGCAATAACGCTCATGTAACATCCCAAATTCTCAATTTGGAATGTTATACATTAGATCATCATTGCATATCATATTTTATTGCATTTTGGTTGATCCTAGAAATTTCACGCAACTCAAGGACCCTCGGAGAGAGTTGGGGATTTCATTATTTTCATATTTGAGTTTCATCAAATTTTGAAAATAGGATCATTTGATTTTATTTATTTTATCTTAAATTATTTCTATCACAAAAATATGAGAGAGGGAATAAAATGACTTTCCCAAAATAAATAAATATTGAGGATTTAATAATAAAATCAAATAAGATTTTATTTTGGGTTTTATTGCTATCTTATTTGAATATAGGACAAATGTGCATTTTTCAGAATTGCATTTAGGCCCCAAATAAATGTTCATCTTGTCCGTCTTGATTTTAGAAGTCGGAGAAAATTTATTTCGAGATTTTTGGAGTCCATTTAGTTTTTTTTTATTTGTTTTTCTGCGCGTAATTATTAAAAAAATCGAACCGACCTAACCGGGTCGTGTCCGACTAGGACACGTGGCCTGGCCGGCCCTTAAAAGCCGCGAGGGCCCGAGCGGAGCCGCAGCGCCCCAGCCGAAACCCTAGCCGCCAGGAACCTCCGCCGCCTTGCCCCGATCTGCGCGCCAGCCGCCGTCGCGGCCCGCCGTCGCCGCCACCCGCCGCACCAGAGCCGCGCCGCCCCGCCGTCGTTCGCCGGATCCGCCCGAGGTAGCCGCCGTTGCCTCGGTTTTCGCAAAGAAACCGATCCGTTTTTTTCGAAAACCTAGATCCATTTTTTATTGTTCCGGTTCGGTTTATTTTCCGGTTTAGTTTATTTAGCGAGCGTTCGCTCGTTCGTTCGTTTTAACGAACGCGTTCTCCGTTTAGCCGCAGAAAACGAACGTTCGTTCGTTATCCTGTTCGTCGTTTTTCTTTTTCTCAGATTTTCCGCGATTATTTCGGACCACGATTTCTAATCTGATTTTCGTTTTAGTATAACTTTTCGTTCGTTAATCGGAATCAGGCGATTCAAGCGCTTGGAGTTTCATCTCGAAACCCTTTTTTCGTTTAACCAACTCAAACAAGATTTTTCTTCTGTAAAATTTGACTTGGATCCACATTAGCAAACGAAGTTTGTTTCTTTCGTCGTTTGTCTTTCGTTGCTTCATTCGATTTGTTTCTTTTTGCCAACCGGAGTTCTTAAGTTGAACTTTCTGGTTAGATCTCTTATTTGAGCTTTACCTGTGCATTAGATGAGTACTTATTGTATGCTTGTTTGTTTGCGATAGAGTACCCGGAGTGCGCCGCTTGCTACTTCGAATCGCTAGGTTTCACGGATCATCAACAAGGCAAGTAACACTTTGATCATACCTTCTACTACCCAGTTTTTATTGCATTAGATCAATCCTCAAACATTGCATGATTAGGATCTAATTAAATTGTGGGTTTTGGGAAGTAGATGAGTTAGTACCTATTACCTGTTTTATTATCAAACATTTGATTGTTACTTCTATGTTTGCTTATATTGTCATGCTATGCTACACTACAAGAAATATGTCAACTTGTGACCTTGACTATTGGTCACTAAAAGGTCATTGTTTTTCATTTGCGACCTTTTGTGACCAAAAATAGAAGGTCAAAAGCTGGCGGTCGTAAACTGAAATTAACGACCTTCTCTGTGAGAAGGTCATAGACATTTACGGCCAAAATATGCCTATTGTTTTGTTTTGGTAACTAGCAGCCTCCCCAGGACACGTAGGCATCCGACGTGGCAATCTGATGTGGCACAAGAATCAGCCTGGTCCAATTCAATTTTCTACATGGGCCTAGCCCAACAATTTGGCCTTTTTAATGTTTTTTTCCTGTACTTTTATTAGCTACATGGGTCTGACCCAGTAATTCGGCCCATGTATTATTTTTTGGGCAAGCCGTTTTAATATATGTATTTTATGTTAATTTCGGTTAGCTACATAGGCCTGGCCTACAATTTGGCCTTTTTATTTTCTAGCGCACAACATTTTGCAGTCAATTTATTTTTATTTCCAGATTTTTTTTCCCAGCTCCAATTTACAGATGGGTCCCAAATGTCAAATTTTTCACAGCTTATTAATAAGCAATATAGATGTACATATCAAACAGACAGAAGAGAGAAAGCATATGAAAATCTTCAAATAACAGCTAAAGTAAGTTTATTACAGAACAGAACACGTGAAACTACATACACTCATACATATCACACCAACCAGTTTCCATACACTCATTCACATCACATCAACCAGTTTAACCATCGAATCTTGCATACCCAGGAACTTCAAACTTCACCCAGATCCACACAATCATAAATATTGGGATCTACAAATAGACTGCTCTGCCAGTACAAAAGCTAGCTACTCTTGGATACCACAGAACATGCTCTTCAACATGGGTAGAAGTCCTCAACAGAGTTCTACCAACGGAGTTCCATTCACCTACAAGAACAGAATGGAATATGAAGTACTTGCATTCTTCAAGAAGATTACAACCAACATATATATGTAGAAGGACATCAGGAAAGCATGGAGCAAAATCAAACAAAAGATAAATCAAGTAAACAAACCATTTGGAAAAAATATATACTACCAGGCTTGAACATGAGCATAGAAAAGAAAAGATGGTTTCATGAAATTAAAACTGCCAATGAAAGCTGAATAATAGTGCAGCTGATTAGCTCCTAGTATGGAGGAATATCACAAAATTAAACAAGATGGTCGTGCAAGTTTCTATACAAGTATTCGTGATTACAATTTGTTATCGTCGTCTAAATTCTCCAACATGCACAAAATTAATTAATATATCTAAATGTGCTACCAATGAAGCAAATTCTAAAAGATACACGGACAGGGCTTAATTAGCCAACCATGTCATTCTATAAACACACAACAAACTCAATGATAACATGTATAGTTATTACCATATAACATGGGAAACATACCTACTGTCCACATATTTCATAATGTAAATAGCTAAATGCTGCAGGAAATAGATTGTTGAGCATTTCCGCCCTTCTTTCAAGCCAGCACCAGCATAACACTCTCACTATAACAAGATCCACACAGACCACCATCTGCAGCAACCGCACACACAAAACAACTAGGGTTGAAGAGAGTGAGATTACCTTGTCACCGTAGATCTTAGAAGACACCTCATGCATGAGGAAGTCCTTGTCGTCCATTGCCAAGCAGCAGGATGCTGGTGGAGCATCCCTTAACGAGCCTACAGGAAGTTTTGCATATAGTTAGAAAACCTGGAAACGTACAGGATGGACTACCATAACATAGCATTGACAGAAAAAAACTAAAGAGCATGTAACTGAACCTCCTACAGCTCTAGCCTCTAGCATGCACTCGAGATTCAGTTCCCACGAATCCAGAAGAGCAATCACATACATGGCAAAGAAGCTTTACAAGAAAATAAGCTACTGTTGTAGATTGCAATGAAATCAAAGTACTACAGCAGACTAAGAAGGAACAAAAAAACATTACCAGGACGAAGGGATGCTCTTGAAACCTCCATGCTTGACCTTTCATATCAGTACAGTAGGCACTGCAAGTGAACGACAAAGAAGAAAGTGATATGCATAAATAACTCATCCATCTATGTTCATATTTTAATTTCAATAGCATGGTACACCCATAAAGAACAATAGTTTGCTACCTACTAGCAAAGTATAAGACCTGAATCATATAGTATAAATGAATCAAGAAAACAAGAACTAACAACGAGAACTGCACACTAGTGCACCAAATGATCAACATCAAGCATAGTATATTCACATAAGTTTGCTAGTGTCACAGAATTAAGCAGTGCAGGTAAACATCATCATCGGTGTATAATTGCCAATATAAACAAGCCATGTAGAAATGCCAAGTTACAGAAACTGCATCACAAATATGATTTGCCTTTGGTGTTTGCCATACAACAACAGCAGTAGTTGATCATGGAATCTAACAGAGTTTAGCTCATGCAGGGCAGACATAACTGACACAAAAATCATACAGTTCAGATCAGGAATAAACCAAACAAGCAAACATCCAATACAGCTAAACTAAGCACAGAACCACAACATGAAGAGTAAACCAATCACTGTATAGGAGGCTTGGACTGCATACATGGTCGTCCTTGAGGTAGAGGACCATCTTGGTACCCCTGCCGAGATGCTCCCCAGACGTATCACAAGTGACGGTGAAAGAACGACCAGCCTGGGACTCCCACACATACTGCTCATCGTTGTTGTGCTTCGTGCTGACAATGACCCTCTCGGCAAGGGAGATGGGGTAGAAGCCAACACCGAACTGCTCCTTCTCGGTGCTCTTCTCAGTCCACAGGGAGATGGGGTGCTCCTCAAGGTATTCCATCTGAAAGCAAATTATATAAAATCAGACAATGAGCAGAAAGAATGTGCAAACCAATAATGTAAATAAAAAAGATTTGAAGAACAGCCAAACATACAACAATACTATATCAGAAATAAACTACGAGAACACATCAGAAATAAACTACGAGAACACATAGAAATTCCATTAAGATGCATAATTCCAGAACAGCAATTTTTAACAGTTCCATAATGCAGTATTATAATTAAAATAGATATAATGTTTAATTGTAAGAGGCCAGAACCATATAAATTACTAAATACAAAGAAAGCATACATTATCAATTAATAGAGAGGGTCAATCAATAAGGATGAGTTAACCCGTGCATTCCTCATGTATGCATGCATTAGAATATAGTTAACAAAAAGCACATCATCAATTTAATTATTTCACCATCAAATCTGAAGTAATACTACCAATCATAGTTAAAATGGCTAGGACGCAACTCATATCTATAAGCAGGTTCCATACTACAACCAGCACAGATCTGAAATGAGCTGAGTTCAGGTATGATAAAATTACTGGTACCAAATTAATACATGACTATTACCAGTTCTAACAGCAAGCTGGTTGAGCAGTGAGGCATTCCAGATACCATTGCATAAAACTTATAACATTACAATCAAACTTCTACATAAAAGAAGATACACATGCCGTCGGATAAGTTGCACCAAGATAGGTGTACTTAATAGTTAGACCATCTACGTTCTGACTATGAATCCGTTGTAAGCATGTGGGCATGCCTGCCAAAACTCAAGACATTATTATGAATCTGATTGCCATTTATTTCAAAAGGCCGTGGCAACGCACGGGCATGTGTTCTACTAGTATCAATAGTGGATATCATTGCAGGAAGAAAACACAACACTTGCATGTTCAAACTTCAGACCATAAGCAAAAACTCCTTGTGCCATTAGTTTAAGCCTGCAGCCACAGAGGAACAAAGTGGACACAAACTAAAAACAACAGAGGCGCCAGATGCCTCAACTCCAAACACAAGGTTTTTATTCTCAACAAAGAACAAAAGCAACACACACACATGCACGTGAGAGGCATCATTCCCAGTTGTTGAAGTACAGATCAAACATTTACCATTACGCGCTTCATCCAGACATCTGCGGCTCATCATGGATAATCCTGGGTGGTTCATCAACTAATCATCATGACAAAGATTAACTGGCATAGTGGCATTGACTAAACTCGGCCTTAGTACAAGTGAAACTATGACTACAAGAATAGCACCACCATGACCAGTGGGCTGCTCTGCTTCTGCTAGCAACTACAAGAATGGTAGCACGTCAAGCATCAGCGACCGTACATGTTTCAGAGAAGGGAAATCCCCAAACCCAGTGCCTCCGGAGCGAACCAGATCGGATACGAAGTGCTGGGTCAGAAGATGGGCGGTGGCACAGATGAAAAGGGAAGCGAGAGGGGAAGGGGAAGGGGACCTGGAAGGGCTCCATGGAGTCGGAGCAGCCGAGCCTTCGCCGGCTCCCTCCTCGCGCGGAGCGGAAGAGCGGCGTCAAATCCCACCCACCGCATGGCTGTGTCGTCGCCCGAGAAGAAACGCACGGGGGCACCTCCCGCGGCGCACGATTGTGGGGAAGGAGAAAACCTCCAACACCTCCGTCGCGGCCAAGCTCGAATCTCGTGACGATGAGGTGGAGGGGCGCGTATGCGCTGTGGCTATCGCGGATCTCGGAGAGCCGTCTGACCGGCTCCATCTTGGGCCTATGTAGGGAAAGAAGGCGAGGGGGAGGGTGGATGTCGCCGGCGGAGGGTGAGGGAATTGGAGGGGACGGTGTTGGAGGGCGAGAGGGCAACGACGGCGGAGGGTGAGGGGATTAGTTCGCGCAACAGCGGCGCCGTCGTGCTCCAGGCGCGGTCGTAGGAGGGGCTGCGGAGCCAGCGTAGAGGGTACGGTGCCGGCCGTGGAGACGAGGCTGCAGTGCCAACCATTAAGCGCAGAGAGGAGGAGGGCGGCGCGACCAAGCGCGAGGATGGATCTGGGGAGTCGAGGGGAGGGGGAGAGGGTGGGTGAGTGGGGGTGGCGGCGGGTGGGGATCTGGGGAGTCGAGGGGAGGGTGGGTGGGTGGGTTAGGGTTTTTGATTCTTAGTAGAAGCTCCACCGTTGGATAGGTGCATGATGGATGGCTCAGATTGCGCCCAATTTGGTGATCCGCGTGAAGGCGGTTCCTCCCGTCTTATTGGCCGGTTGTCTCGCACTTGAATCTCAAAATTTTAGACCCAAAACTCTGATTTTGTTAAACATAACAATGCCATAGTTTATCAAAATGATCTCGTTTTTTGCATAAGTGTGCATCTTGGAATGGCAAACAATGGCATAGTTCGACAGCTTTCATTTTCTTTGCACAAAAAAGTTATTTTCCATTTTCCTAGTGCATAAAAAGGTTTTTTTTGTGAAGAAGCTACTAAATATTTGTTCTAAAATAGCACAACTCCATTTTTCCAAAATATTATACCACATTTTATGTAAAATTGACCAAATAGTTACATGTCAAAAGTTTTTGATACACCTCTTATGAAAAAAACAAAATTCACCCATTGAGTAGGAAGCGGGGCAAATTTGAGCAACACCTACCTTATAGTTTGTTCAAATGATCTCATATTATGCACAAGGGTGCATCTTGGAATTCCAAACAATGTTGCCTAAGGGAGCTTTCATTTTCTTTGCACGGGAATTTCATTTTCCATTTTTTGAGTGCCCGAAATGAGTTTTTTGTGAAGGATCTACCATATATTTGTTGCAAAATTCAACCAAATCAATTTTGTAAAATACTAGGCCGTATTTAATGCACAATTGACCAAATGGTTGGGTGTAAAAAGTTTATATCCACCTCTCGTGAAAGAAGACAAATTTCCGCCGATTCAGATGGAAGCGGGTCAAATTTGAACTGTAGCTACCTCGTAGTTTGCTCTTTATTTTTTTTCCAAAAATCATTTCTAAGTACATAAGTATCTATTTAATCAGAGAAACATCAAAAGGTCTCCAAGATTCAACAACTAGCTAGGAACGGTCAAGTCCGCCGTTTTGACAGCATTTTGAAACGGACATGAAAAATTCAAAAAAAATCAAAAAATTGGAAAACCTCCGCATTGTGTCATTATATGTGACTAAGTTTCCATAAAAAATAATAAACTTGTAATACGGTAATTATTTTAAAAAAGTGTTTTTAGAAATGAGCTATCATGTGTGAAGATTCATGGCTTTCAAGCCAAATGATCAATTTTATGGCCACATTCATGGCATAGTTTGTTCAAATGACCTCATATTGTGCACAAGGGTGCATCTTGGAATTCCAAACAATGTTGCCTAAGGGAGTTTTCATTTTCTTTGCACGGAAAATTCATTTTCCAATTTCTGAGTGCCCGAAATGAGTTTTTTTTGTGAAGGCCCTACCATATATTTGTTGCAAAATTGGACCAAATCAATTTTATAAAACACTAGGCCATATTTAATTCACAATTGAAAAAATGTTTGGGTGTCAAAAGTTTTGATCCACCTCTGGTGAAAAAGACAAATTCCCGCTGATTCAGTAGGAAGCGGGTCAAATTTGAACTGCAGCTGCCTTATTGTTTGCTCTTTATTTTATCCAAAAATCATTTCTAGTTACATAAATATCTATTTAAGCATAAATACATGGTTTGCTGGCGATACGTCGAGGTTTGGATGGTGTCCCAGGGCCCCAACTCCAAAGCGCGTGAACTCGCCTGCCTGGTGCGTGGTCACCGCGTGACCTTGGCGTTGACATGCGTTCTGGGAGACCTAGGCATGTCTAGAGGGTTGGGAACTCCCCGAGTAGGTGCTAGGATGAAAATTACAACAGAATAATCTCACGAGGAGACCGACCTATGCTCAAAGATGAATTAGCAGCCAAGTGTTTGATTGGCAGTACGAGAAATGCACATGGCCAATGGGTGTGAGTTTTGGCTGAGGATGATCATATACTAAGAAGAATGTCTTCGCAAATTTTCAGATCAAAAGGAGGATCCTAGGTGGTACTTGCTTTGCAAAGTACCACATTGGACAGAAATATGAATGTTGAAGCTGGGCTCAAAATAATGAATGGATTGAACTGAAATTTGGTGGAGGATGGTTATTTGGGCATTGGAATGCACCATATCAAATTGATACCATTTGGACATGCCAAAGTTGTACTTCCTTCACAATGCTCTTCTATGGACAGAAAGTTGGGAAAACTAGTGAGAGAAATTGGATGAATGAAATGAGTTCAAATTTGGTGTAGGTAAGTTACATATGTATGGTTATGCCTTGGTAGATTTTCAGATCATTTGGGTAAGCCTAGCTAGTACTTACTTCACAAAGCTTCTCTCGAGGTAGAAACTTTGGAAATTTCTTGAGAAAGATTTACTAGGAAAATGGAGCTGCATATTATCATGTGGCAATGATTTGGCTATGGAAGAGTGCCCAAAGAGTTTGAGGGTAATAGGAGGGGCCTAGATAACACTTGCTTTGCAACGTACCAATCTGGCCATAAAATATAAATTGAACCTGGGCTAACATAGATAATTTGACTGAGCTGCAATTTGGAGGAGGGTGATAATTTGGGCATATGAAGGAATTGATAAATTTCATGTCATTTCGATATATAAAAAAGGTACTTCCTTCACAATGCTTCAAGGTGGACAAAAACTTTGGAAATTTTCCGAGGAAGATTTGCTAGGCAAATGGAGCTGAATTTTGTCATGCGGCAATGATTTGGATAGGAAAGAGTGCCCAAGAATTCCGAGGGCAATCAAGAATATATAAATAGCACTTCCTTCATAAAGTGATGTTGTGAACAGAATAGGAAAATGAATATTGTTGAATTATTTTTAACTAGTAAAGGAAGTATTTTTACATATTTGACGAAGATATGACCTAAAGAATTTATGAGATTTTTTGGGGAATTTTCGGAATGACATAAATATAGGTTGCTTCACAACCTAGGGCAAAAATTGACAGATGGACATGACACATAGGCAAAACTGATGAGGTGGCGCCAAGTCATATCAATCCACCACAATTTACAAGGTTATGACCATCTATATTGGTCATGATCAGCTAGAAATAAGGCAGCGGACTAGTGCTGTCTGCTTTATGACCATTTCGTGTAAGGAAGTTACGACCTTTCTGACCAAAATGGTCGCAATGGTTTAGGTTTTGGAGCCCCCCGAACAGGTTTTGACCAATTGGTCTGAAATGGTCATAGATCTATGACCAATTCTTCTAGGGTCACTGACAGAAGGTCACTAGTTGACATATTTCTTGTAGTGCTAGTAGACGTGGATTGGGTGAGTGTATCCATGACATATGTGAGATTGATAAATTAATGGTTTATTTAAGGTGGCAACTTAAACACACATCTGGGTGGATTGAGGCACATGGGTATTCCAGCGATTGCCTATTTTTCTTTTGGACCGCCACCCAGGCTCAAAGGGATCATGAGATTATTCATACTAGAAACTTTCGTGTGCAGCCACAAGCTACTATGGGCTCTAGCATAGTTGATTAAGTCGTGCGAACTCTTACAGTGGTAGACTAGTAGATGTAGGGGAAAGTAGGTGTGACGGTCTACCCGATCGTAAGGTGCTAGCGCTTCTGAAAGACTATGTCTCGGTCATCCATTTCTCAAACACCATGTAGTGCGAGAATCCCAACGGAGGAGATCGAGTCTTGTGGGGGAAAAGTGCGCAAACCTCTGCAGAGTGTATAAACTAATCATGGTTACCCGTGTCCCCGGTTATGGACAACTTGAGTATCTAGTACTTGGATTATCATGTGAATCTCATCATGTTACTTTAATTAATATTGTTGGGTTTTAAATGTTGATGTTTAATTGGGATTGAGAGGGTGTCTACACTCTCAATGTTTAACAACTACCATGATAGTTAAATAAAATTTATTCCTTTGCAGTAGGGAAAATTGGCTTTACGCAAAACTGTAACCATAGAGCTTTTCACCAGCCATATATGCATGTAGTATAGCTTATTTCTTTCATTATTCTCTATGTGTTACCTTGCTAGCATATTCCATGTGCTGACCCGTTTCAGGCTGCAACGTTCTTGTTGCAGACTTTTTAGATGACGAGTAAGGTGCCTTTAGGTCGTGGTTCTATACTCAGTGATGCCGTTGGAGTTGATGGACTCACTTATCTCCTAAGCCTTCCGTTGTTATCGTTATTAGATGGCCTTAAGCCATATTTATTGTAATAAGTTCTCTTTTGAGACTCACGATGTAATAAGTGTGTGATTGCTACTCTATTATAAATCCTTCAAGTACTGTGTTGTGTCAGCATTACTGATCCAGGGATGACACTAGAGCACAGAGATTGGACTATTTAAGGTCTGGTCGCTACAGCTCAGGTCTCAAGTTTACTCATATCAATAGCATAATCAACTAGCGAGCAATAATAATAAATCTCGGATGACAACACTTTCTCAAAACAATCATAATATGATATAACAAGATGGTATCTCGCTAGCCCTTTCTTAGACGCAAAACATAAATGCAGAGCACCTTTAAAGACCAAGGACTGACTAGACATTGTAATTCATGGTAAAAGAGATCCAATCAAGTCATACTCAATGTAAATTAACAGTAATGAATGCAAATGACAGCGGTGCTCTCCAACTGGTGCTTTTTAATAAGAGGATGATGATTGAGCATAAAAGTAAATAGATAGGCCCTTTATAGAGGGAA